GTGACCTTAAGTGGCCGAAGTTTGGTGATGATCTGAATAAAACTTCCGAAGTTATTCGAAATTTGGTGATGACCGTTTTTTTTTGTGTCACCCTGTATATTGAAAAGACTCGCTTTGCACGTTTCACGCTTGCTCGTAATGAGTAGCTGCTGGATGCCTCTGGAATTTGCATGGGTGCCAACGGCTGCGGAGGACAGGGGAACGCGTCCATCAGTTTGAGTTTATGGACGGGAGTCTCCCTGAAATTTTAACCAATTTTGTTTTTGTTTTTGTCTCGATTTTTTTTTTTATCTCTGATCATGTTTGCGAAAACAAAGTGGCCGAAATCCGAGGAGAAATCGGATTTTGGGGGTAGGTTAGGTTTTGGACCTCTGGGACCTTGGCCCCCCCACTTTCGAAAACGTTCCTACGCCTATGCTCTATGGCAATGACTCTTGTCAAGTTGCTCTTAGGACAATAAAAATTTATTTCATTGGCTTCCACTCGCCAAACCCGCTTTTCCTATAGCTCAATCAAGGGATGAATCACTGGGTGGTTCTTTCGACCCCTCCTCACCCTCCTGCAATTGAAGTTAGCCGTTGTCAAAGACACTAATTCGTGCAGGGGCTCATTTTCACTTGTCCTTTTAATGTAATCGGTGACTTAAGCCAGCCGCCGGCCAAATGAACAAAAATCCATACAAACCCAGGTGATGCCACGGGCCCACGGCCCTCATCCTTGTCAGCGTCCACTCCCTCGGCGGCGGCGGCGGCGGCCCGCCGTGCCGTGCGCCGCGGCATGTTACCTCTCGCCGCGCCAGGGGCCGCGGGGCGGGACGCTACCCCCCGCTGCGCCAGGCGACCCCCGGGCCTGGGCACCGCCGCGGCGGGCGACGGACGACAATAGAGCAAACAAAGGATGGGGCCGCCAGTCAGCCGGCGTAGTGAATGGGTAAATCCTTACTCGATAATACAGCAGGGACTGCTCCACGAACACGGGCAGGCCGTACGGCAGTAGACATTCGATGGAATAGGCGATTCGGGCGTAGGTCAGCCGGGCGTAGGTCACCCGGGCGTAGACATTCGATGGAGTAGGCGATTCGGGCGTAGGTCAGCCGGGCGTAGGTCAGCCGGGCGTAGACATTCGATGGAGTAGGCGATTCGGGCGTAGGTCAGCCGGGCGTAGGTCACCCGGGCGTAGACATTCGATGGAGTAGGCGATTCGGGCGTAGGTCAGCCGGGCGTAGGTCAGCCGGGCGTAGACATTCGATGGAGTAGGCGATTCGGGCGTAGGTTAGCCGGGCGTAGGTCAGCCGGGCGTAGACATTCGATGGAGTAGGCTATTCGGGCGTAGGTCAGCCGGGCGTAGGTCAGCCGGGCGTAGACATTCGATGGAGTAGGCGATTCGGGCGTAGGTCAGCCGGGCGTAGGTCACCCGGGCGTAGACATTCGATGGAATAGGCGATTCGGGCATAGGTCACCCGGGCTGATCCCAAAAATTGTGCCTGGGTCCAGCTAATTGCCACTTTAAGTCACTATGACATCTTTCATGATAGGCCAAGTACGTACCAAGTGCATGAACAGTGAGCAGTCGTAAATTCAGAAATAGACCTTGGGTTAGGTGACGCCAACATACCTACACATGACATAGCCAAAACATTCAGATAGGCTAAGAAGTTAAAATGATATACATTAACAGATGCCAGGCCATCGAGAGGTCGCAGAACCCACGCATAAAACGAACGATGAAGTCCGTATATCGTATATTTGGGAATGAAATAAACCGCAATTGGGGTCACACCGTTCCGTGCTTCTATCCTCAGGAAACTGAAATCCTTCTCCTCCACCCCGCAACCCCCTCCGGGCTGGACAGGCAACTTTATCTCATGCGGGCTGCTCCCTTGGAGCGGCACCGCTGCTCCTGAGGGAGCGCACCCCGTAGCCGGGTGCAGTGAGTGCCTTGGGGCTGGGTGGCCTGTCCTATGGACGGGCTCAGCCCCGGCGACTCACTAGGGTGCCTGCCCAGACCAATGTCTCCCCCTATATCCTATCATCCTCCCGGCTCTGAAATGGTCTCATTGGACCGAAAGGGCCTAACCCAACAAAACAAACAAACAAACAATTGGGTTGGGCTCAGCAGAATCAAGTGGCACACCTAGGAAAGGAAAGGCAATTGTTGGACATTTGAAAAAAAACGTTAAATTCAACCTACGCTCATCCCAACTGTTTGAAACGACCACCGTGTTTCGGGCAGCGCAGCTCGGTTCGGAGCTAGGAGCGGTATGCCAATACCGGCAGGCTGCCCCACTGACGTAGCGGGCAAATAAGTCGTTCATCATATCCTTGTTACCTCAAGAACTAGGGACTGGGGTGTTCATCCAGGAATTTTGAACGAACTAAAACATTCCGTCAAGAAAGAACACGGGGCGAAACCACTGACCAAGAGAGCACGTCTAACGGTGAGAGGTGTTGGCCCGTTGGCCGTTCTCTGGTTTGAAGGAGCGGTTTATGAGCGACAGAGCGCGTCAGGATGCTGGAGATTGTCATGCGACCCGCCGTACGTAGCTGTGCTGACACTGCAGCCCTAAGAAGGTATTTGTTAATTGTTACAGCAGAAAGGCGCACCTTTTCAAGGAATACCGGGGCCCTGTTCGGTCGCTGTTTTTATATCAGCGTGCTGTCGGTTTTCCCCATATAAGGAAGTTATTGCTGGCGCGGCTTGGCCTCTCATTGGTCTAACGAATAGACCACTTGAATTCGACCAATGAGGAGCCAAGAAGCAGCAGCATGGTCGCAGCCTGCTGATAAATAAACGGGGTGCGAACAGAGCTCGGCTTCCGATGCACTTGTCGTCGGCAAAATTGGACAATTTTTCAATTACCCCAAAACAAAACATTACTTGTTTCCGCGTAGTCCCGACCTGAGTGGCCTCAACTTAAGTTTCTTGAGTAGGGCAGTTGCGACGAATGTCATACCGCTCCCACCACCGAGCGAACCTGCGCTGCCCGAAACGGGGTGGTTATTTCAAACATCTGTGAGCTTAGGTTGAACGGAACGAATTTACTTTTTTGTTTGTTTTACAGCAAATGTGCAGCAACTGCCAACTGCCTTTCTAAAAGTGCATCACTTTACTCTGCTGAGTGCAAATAAACCGCGATAACGCAGGTATTACTTTAAGAAACGTGTAAAGTTGTTGTAAAATGTTCAGTGGCCAGGCACAAGGGCAAATCAGCGATTAAAACACTCCAACCTAATTGATTCGTTTTGGCGAGGAATCCCGGTATCGAGCGAGCGAACAGCTGAAAGGATTGGGCATCTGCAGTAAGATCTGCAGGCTACCATAATGATCCCTTCATCATACACTGTCATGCCTTCGTAAGACATCACAAACAATGGATGATGCTAAGCAAGAATCGACCAATCCACCTGTTCTTACTTCTTACTACACAACTACTTACTTCTTACTTACTACAACTACACTGACTGGAATGCAACTGCACTACTTGCACCAGTACCATATAAACAGCATTGAGTGTGGACAGTTTATGCTTATATTGTCATTATCAGTCTAGATGATTTTTGATCAATCATGCTTAACCCGCGCACCGACGGGGGTCTGCGCCAACTTAGTACCGACGGGGGGGGGGGGCGGATGACCGCCCCCCCCCCCTGAGATCTCGAGAACGAAGCAAGATAGCGACAAGCGGTAAACGGCATCGGATACGCACGGTCAAGATCTACAATTTTTACTAAGGTCATTTTCAGGTCAGGTCAAAGATGACGTCACAGGGGTCGAAAAAGTCAAAATGGCGGCGCTAAATATGGAGAGAGTTTTTCTCGAATAACTTTCGAATTAGTCAAGATAGGAACAAACTAAGGGCATCATCGTGATCCTCTCGTCAATCCGCATTGAATGATATATATGTTGACCTCGAAAGGTCAAGGTCAAAGGTTGACCTCAGGTCACGTGACCTCGAGGTCATCATGTATATCATTCGATGCGTCTTGACGAGCTGAACACAATGAGACCATCCACGCGTCTGTATCTTGTTCCTGTACGGAGTTATTGGCCAAAAACCTTTGGTGACCTTTGATGACGTCACATGACCTCACAGCTGCCCAACAGCAAAACAGACCTCAAGGTAGTGAAGGTTGATCGTATATGAAGTCATGTATGGTATATGGGGCCATTCCGACCCGTTTTAGTGGTAAAAACAGGGAGTTGATTTTTCCCCCATTGACTTATAATGGGGAGGTCGCGAAATTGACCTGACCTTAGGTCACCGATATCAAAATTCCGAGATATACAAATTGTAGCTACTAATGACCTAATAACATCCTGCGACTTTCAAAGGCCTCCGACATCTACTGTAGCTCTGGCACGGTGACAAAGTTGCAAAAAAGTGACTTGAGGTTGGGTCATTCAAAGTGACCTGGTGACCTGACCTTGAAAGGTAGGAGGTTCAAACTTGCACACCATGTGTAAAATTGATAAGGGAATAGTCATACCAAATTTCGCGGCGCTACGCGCCGCGGTTTTCCCGCTATTCGCGAAAAACCTCAGGGGGGGGGGCGGATATCCGCCCCCCCCCCGTCGGTGCGCGGGTTAAACTTATGGTCCATTTTTCATGAAGTAAAAAGCAAAAAAAAAAAAACAGACAAGTAAAATATGATGTTTTTTGGCCAGCCAAGGAACTCATAGCTACAGTGCACAAATTCTGAGAGGCTGCAGTGATTGAGGACTGGGGAGGAGAGTCTTGAGAGGAAAATCTTTCAAATCAGTCTCAAGGCAAGACTGCTTCATTTCTTTTCTCATTTTCAACATCAAGCAATGTTGAAGAGCAACTGAACATGATCCAGAGTTCAGAATAATGCTTAGGTACCCAGACTTTGAGCATTCTGGCTGTATCTGATAGTAGGTATGGTAGGTAACAAGGGTAACAATGCCTGTAGACCTTTTCGAATTTCAATATGAATTGGTTGGTCAAATTATACTCATTTGCCAAGTTAGTAGGAAGATACCTTTATATTGCTGATATGCCTTTGACTTGTGTTGAGTGTAGCATTAATGTCATCCAGCCTTCTCTCTGTATTCTCCAGCTGTTCTCTCTGCCTCATGAGCTCCTGAAAAGTCAGCAGAGTGGTGTGATAACACGATCCAGCACAGGGTAGGTGAATAATGCATTTTCCTGCAGGAATTTTGCACACAAACAAGTGAATCAATGTGTCAGGCATGTACCTTGAAAGTAACTTGGCATTGGTAAGGCAGATTGCACAAGCTTTCAATTTTCATGTCATTAGGAAATGCAGTAGCTCAGTAATCTAACTTAAGTTATCTGACTACATAACAACATTAAATCACCTTACAAATCTGCATCCTATCTTGCCAATACCCAACAAAGGAAGGTTCCTACCTCTGCAGTCTCAATGCCAGCTCGTTCCGATTCTTGAAGCAGCCCAACTGATCGGCTAGATGAGTTCAATGTACGCTCCTCAATTTTTCTTCTCTCTTCTTGCAGTTGCAGCCTGCGATCTTCCAGTGGATTTCTGGGTCGAGACTGATGCTCTGGGAACATGTATCCCGATGAACCCTGTCTAGGGTGCTTCAGAAACTCATCATCTGTGACATCCTCCACAGCAAAAAAGGGATTCTTTGAATCACTCAAATAATTATTTCCTGCCATAGCTGATGCTGATTTTTAGAATTGTAGAATATCTAGTCAGCAACAGATTCTCCTGCTCGAAAGCATAGGTACAAACTCAACAGCCTTTTGCTCAGCAGCCCAAAACGCAAAAAAGCGACACAAGTCTATGAGCCAGTCCTATTATTTTATCGTGTTCTAGGATTACTGTGCCTTTCATCGTCAACAGCTCATGGACATTGAAGTTTCTAGAGGTGCAGCTTGCTTGGAAAGTTGCGACTCAGAGCTCGACAATTCTTCAATATGATTTTTTTCTCCATTTAATGTAAAATTGTCAAAAAGGTATAAATAATAAGACATGACTGCTACACAGAAAGATGTGTAAAATCTTCATTGGAACGTTAAGTTCTACTGTAAAATATATAAAGAAAATTTGCATCTTTTTATCAAGGAAAAATGGCTCCGGGCCCTGATTGGCTGTGCTGCACCCGACAGCCGCAAAAGCTGCTGACGAAAACGAAAATAAAAGCTTTGTGGGTTGACAAAACTGACGCATTGCTTGTTGTTGAAGGTCAGTCGCGCAGGGTTGCTTTGTGAGATTTGTGTGGCTGTGGTTCTGTCTGGTGTTTTTCCGCCTCTTATTTCAATAGAAGGGTTCTTTCTAATTCGTTTGCTTGAAGGCCATCAACAGATTTTCTCGGATTTCATTGATGGGCCAGTGCAGTGCGCCGGCGCAGCACTGCCAGCTCTCCTGTGCCCCTCGAAGCGGATAGTTGACGGTGGCCTTCCCGTGGCCGGCCCGTTCCCCTTCACTGCGCGGCCGCCGCCTGCAGCACACGGCCGAAGATGAAAGTGGACGTCAGCGCGGCGCCAGTCTAGCTCAGGGGTTGCTGACGGAGGGTGTGCGGGTCACGGTGCTCCGGTCCGGTTCAGCAGGGCGCGGTCGCCGGGTGAGCCAGAGCCAGGGTGAGTCCTTTGTTGTTGATGTTGTTGTTGTTGCATGGGCCACAACGATCGAGGCTCGTGACGTCTGACACACTATGGCCTTGCTGCTGGCTGCTGCCTGTATTAGGATGAGAGAGGACTGTTGAAATGTTGATTAAATTTTGGTGCAATTTAACTTTTCAATTGTCAAGTTTATCTAAAACAGTGTCCAACAAGACAAGATGAGCCAAAATGTGCATATGTATATGCCCATTTAATGTGGACATCTATAAGTGTGTGCAGTTCAGTATGCTACTATGCAATTGGTTAACTTGATTGCTCATTTTTACCTTGTCTCTTAGCAGCTAACCACATGCATTGTTCTTGTGCATTGACTTTACAACAACATGTCATTTTAATGTTTGTGACATTTCAACCTGCCTGTTTTCAGGTGGAGGATAGGACAATCTGTAGCAGAAGCTGTGCCAGTGATCTGAGTGAAAGTGTGAATTAAGAACTGTGGACATAGCTCCTCTGATAGGTCTACTACAGGACAATCATGCCAGCCCCAGATGCTGACTACCAGTAAGTTTGCATTGTTTGCTAGTGTACCTCTTCTTGTACTGAATTATGATCATAGCTCAATTCTGTGTTTCAATGCAATTTGTTACATATCATTGTATTACCATGTTGAACTTGATGCTTAGCTAATAGCTACCTATTGCACATATCAGATATGAATTGCTTGCCTGACTGTGTGTTTGTGTTGCAGGACGTTCTCAGTGGTGGACTCGTCGAGAGTCTCCACGTTTGTCATCTCCATCCTACTCATCGTCTACGGCTCATTCCGGTGAGTGTGCGATGACTCTGAGTCAGATGAGTCAGGCGTCTTCTGTGGAGGCAGAAAAAGAATTGTCGTGACTCGGACTCGTGCTCGATAAAGGACCGATTTAGCCAACCAAAACGAGTGCAGGGAGAGTCGAATGAGTCGGGTGTTTTGTCTGGAGTCTTTCAACTCGGAGTCAAACTCTTCTTGGGCAGCCGTGATGAGCAATTTGGACGGATGGGATACAACACATAACATGGTTGGCTGTATTAGTGAGCGCTCCAGCCTCCAAACTTGTAAACATCTTTTCATGTGATCGGGTTAGAATCGCTCTCTCAGAATGATCGTATTCTGCCTCGCGAATTACGCACCCTCTTCCGCAACACCGGCGGAAGTACGACTAAATGATAAGCTCACACTGCGTTCAGACAACACGAGAAAGAAACGGAAACTCATTAACTGTCAAAAATAAGCCGGCGGAAGTTGCCAAATAGTTCGGTTTAACCCGCTCAAATCGTGCCGGGCGGCCAGTTGCAGTCAGTTTGCTTACGTCACACCACGCCATGCAGTATTCACGCCGCTCGTGCCGTGCCACGCGCCGAGGGAGAAAGTGACCACGATGGAGTGGACTGTATTTAGGGCCTTGGAGTGGACCTTTTCACGCGGCCGTGACCGTGAGCGTTGTTCACCAGAGTGTGGGTGAAAGTGGGAGCTGTGGCGGGGATGGGACCTCGCTGAGATGGTGGGTTGGTCGCTAACTGAACGGTGGGACCGAACGGCCGGCCGGTGACTGCAGCGCCAGACTTCTAGACTTTTTGCTGCTGGTGCTCAATTGGTAAATAAGTAAGGAAAACTCCCGATATACAACAAAGGCAACAACTATTGAGAAGCTGATATGTACCAGTACAGCAGACATATGGGCAGTGCCAGACTGGATGCTGTCTGGAAGCCCTTTTGTCTGGCTCCAGCGTGCTGTGTGCCCGTTACTAGTGGATTGTTGCCGCTCAATTTCCTTCTGTATGATTACTAACATCATAAGATGATTACATTGTGGGGCTGTAAGACATTACTCCCAGTCACGCAGCTCATTGTTTACGTCTATGTATAGCGGCAAGTATTTTTATCCTGCCCCAGTCTTTACTTTCATCAGGCAGTACTCAGTGGCTAAATTTGGACCAGATCAGTCCGCTATGCTCGACGACCGTAAAACTATCTTGCAATGATCACTCGTAAATAATCCGTCATAGACCACTACATTTCTGGTATGTGGTGGTCTGTGAACCCATACATAACTCAGCATATGCGCCACAAAGCCCATTGGGTCACTCATGCATAAACTGTAAATAACCCCTTAAAGACGTCAGACATACGTCGCACATAACCTTCACACACGCTCAGTTCTTCTTTCTCGCTGCGGTCCCCATGCCACGACCCGCCCACGACTGTAGACCGCCAAGTTGAACGTCCTTTCGCGGTGGCGGCGCGCCAGTGTCCTCCATTGGAGAGTCACGGTTCGTGGCTCACGCGCGACGGAGTCAACGACTGACCGCCTCCATGTGTCCTCGACAGGGGACAGGGGTGTCCGATGGGAGTGTCCGCGAGTGGGCATGTCTGCGGGTGGCCGTGTCCGCGAGCCGTGGTGTCTGGTAGGTGTCCGCGAGTCGGGGTGGCCGCTGAGAGTGTCCGCGAGTTGGGGTGTCCGGTAGATCTGGTCGCGTTTCGCGGCGGATTGTCAGTTCACTGAAAGTTCAGCAGAGGGTTTCGTTCATTTCACAATGCCGGTACTTGCTAGCGTGTCTTCGAGCTGTCTGACGTCAAACGCCACTTTTGATCGCGGGACGTTGATGATTATGAAACGCGAATGCTGTTTTTTTTTTGCCTCCTTTGGTTATTGCGATGGGTTGACGCCAGTGTACCTTTTTGCTGTTTCATTCAATTGCCCAACTCATGAAGGTAATGCAAACACTATTTCAAGCAATGCATACGTTCTGAGCCATCGCTCTTCGGTATTCAACTCGGAGAAGCCTCGGCCCTCTTGGCTCTTCTTCTCCAATGTTTGGCTGCCGTCGTTCGTGGCTTCTCACGGCTTATACGTTTTTGGCAAGAAAGCGCGGCTATAGGCTGGGGAGCTAACAGCCATCTTCACTGTCATGAGATCTTTGTTCGCCGCCACCGCCCACCGTTGTGAGAACCTGTCCGCCAGTGCCACCTTCCACCGCTGAGAGCCTGTCCTCCGCCACCGCCTCCCACAGCGTCTGCGCCTCACCTTGAGTCAGCGCCATCTTAGGCTTACCATCCACTGTGAGTGGTGTGACCGACCCTGACTGGTGCTCTGCCCGACCGTGGTGCACCGAGTCATGAGCAGCGTGACCGCCGACCGCTGACCGACCGGCCGCCGACCGCGCGCCGCCAGTTGCTCCCGACACGGAGCGGCGTTTTTCAGCACGGTGCGGTGGGATCATCTTCCCTTGACGGCGGTCAAAGCGGCTTACCGCGGCCGCGGAGAGGCACTCGTGGTCGTGAGACGAACCCGAGCCGTACCTGGAAAGGCTCACGAAGCTGCAGATATGTCGATCTGTCAGGGAGGAAAATGGCCGGAGATTTGATAGGATGCTGAGAACGAGTTGGACAGAGCTGGTCGTTTGGAGTTTCCTAATGGAACGATGCTGGGAGATAAGGTGATAAAACAGTTCGCATTTCGAGAGGCATTGCGACTGCAGGTCGTCAATCTGCACCAAATGACGTGTGCTTGCATTGCCATTCAGCAGCATGGTGATTTGCCGATTACAGAAGCTTTGTTTTGTGTCAAGGACAGTATTCGAAACCAGCTGCATTGGGTGGTTGAGATGACAAGTGCTTGGTGTCTTTTTATTCAGGATTACAAAACATGACGATTTTTCTCTGCTGCAACACGGGCTTTCATGCGTGGTTGTTGCAATCCTGGCCGATGCCGTAATCATCTTTGTGCGCTCGCTATGGATTCAGTTGATTCATTAGAACTTCTGTCGCATAATACTTTTTGCAATGCCTTTAACACGTCAACTCCGACTCACGGCATTTGATAAAACCTTTTTCAATTCGCCTAGTTAGCACTGAGCAATTTGCACAATGCACATCCCATGTCTCTGTTCTGATCAAACCTGTGACCAGCCAAAATCGCGTTGAAAACAACCGACTGCCACCGGAAGATTGACTGGTGCGGTAACGTTCGACAGTTTTCCCCTATTCGAGCCACCCCATGTATTCGTCATCACAGGTGAATCCCCATGGCTCGGATCAGATGTTTATACCGTGCAATGTTCATGTGCTCTCTCGGCCTTGTTACTCCCCGGTGCCGGTCGGTACGTCAGTAGCCAAAATTCCCCACATTGCTGCTATTGTTTGCCGTGCAATTGACCGAACAGCTGCGGTCACACAGTGATTATTGTGACTACAACTCAGCCATTGTCCATATCTTGTTAACGTTTGCTGAGAGGTCAGCCGTGTATGGCCAGTGAATCACATATCTTGCTTCCTTCTTGGTAAGGTCACGGCTCCTCCATAGTCGCTGTCTTATACAGACGACAGTGTCACTAATATTTACAGTAAATACTCTGTCGCCGTCGGTGTCATTTCCATCTCATCACCCGATCATCACCCTGCCTCCCTAGAGTATCCAAAACACTGCTGTGCTCCGCTGACTGTAACTCCACGGTTACCGGCTGAACCACTGCGCGGGATGTTACAACGCAATGTTACCACATCTCCACATGTTTGGATTATTCGTCAGGCCGACCGGCTGGCTCGCCTGACCAGCCGGCTAGTCCGTCTGACCAACTGGCTAGGCTGGCTCACCGTGACCCAGGGCCCGCAGTGGTGGAGTGGTCGCACCGGTCGGTACCGGTCAGCCCGGCTGCGGACCGCGGCCTCGGTCACGCTCGTTCAGAGCTGCCTCTGTTGGGATGGGATGGTCTCAGCACGGCCGGCGACGTGGAGGCCAACAAGCTCGGTCGTCGTTGTGACTCTCTTTCTGCTATGCTGCTGTAACCAGCCGCATCCAAGGTCAGCAAGTCAGCGTTCTAGTCATGACAGGGCTTCAATCGAGTCATAGCAGAGCCTTGGTCGAGTCATCAATCATCATGACAATTCATCAGACATAAGTGAGTTCATGATTGAGGTGGAGACTGTGGATTTTTGTGGCTGTTGGCTGTGCTTGTGGCTTATGAAGTCGGCCTTCTATTTAGCCCACTATCGTAATGCAATTTCAACCAGTCTCACAGCCTTTTGTCTCAGTTTCACAGAGTCAAAGACCCTCTTTTCATTGATCCAGTCCGGCCCTAGTCCGACTGCCATCCAGTCCACTGTGCCCTTTTTGTCCTGTCTTTTCTGTCCTTCATGCTCTTTCCCTAACTGGTCTCAGTAACGGACCTAATGCGAGCCTGCGCCCATGAGACTTGCCCCATTGATGGATTGGTGCAGCACTGAGAGGACACTCACTCCCTGTCCCCATGGAACACGCTCATTTCCCAACGGTGTCCAAACTCCTGGCGCCCCTGAGAGCCCCGGCCGGCCGCCGATCGATAGGACACGACCCTAGCGGCTGGGCAGAACCAAACTTCGGTCGCAGTGGCCCGCATGGGGCTGTGACCTCTGGCCGGTTCGGCTGCGACTCGAGTCGGAGTGACTCGCTGACTCTGTAAAGACTCGCCGCTGCGACCAGCCTCTGCTGATTTCGGCTGGGAGAGCGCACTACTCTGTGCCGGCCTACTCGGCCCCGCAGTGCTGCGAAGCCGTGTTTACGAGCGGGTATTTCTGACTCAGACACAGCGCCGGTCGAGTGCCGCTAAACAGCACAGCAGGTCGTTTGCCGTGCCCGGCCACGCCGTGTTTGATTCCGCTTTGTCCCGAGACTGCTGCACCTGACTTGACAGTCGCGCGGTGTCCTGGGCTCGGCGTTTTCAATATTTGCTCTTGCAGCCAGGTGCGTGTGTCGACCGTCACGGAGTTTGGTTTGGTCTGATAACGGGCGCCTTGCACGCGGCAGGGCGGGGCTTCTCTGACGTTCTAGGGCGCTGTTCGACGGAGGGCGGGGCTAGGTCCAATAGTGGCTGTCCCAGCCCCGAGCTGGGGTGGCGGTCGGCGATCGTTTGTACTATCAGACCCTGTGGTGACTCAAGTGACTGCTGCGGTCCCACGGCCGGAAAGGGGATGGGGTAGGGGCCACGCGTCGGCCGTCCACGTTCTTTAGGTACTCCCATGTCTCTTTACACAAGTCATTGCGACACTGTATGGAACAGAATGACATATTACGAATTATACTGTACCCTGACTTACACATGACTGTGTGACGATTGTTATGTTCATTAGTATGATTCATACATTTAGGAGAATTCATATCTAGCCACGGAAGCTTCCGGCCACCACGCACCTGTATTGGCCAGTCGAGCACGTGTATCCCAGGCCCTTCAAGGACCGTTATGTGCCCCTCCCTGGTGCGGGAGCGGGCTACCGCGGCGACAGGGAGTGCATGGTCCACAACAGACCGACTGCGCCGGTTTACGCCAGTTCATAGTGCCAATAAAGGGAAACCAAAGTTGGGCTGTGCTCTGTGCTGTATAGGTCAGCCTACCATGGTCGTTAGCCTGTCATTATTATATATTAGCTTGAATATTTTATTGTTGACATTGGTGTTTGGTTGATGTGAGAGGAAACCGTCCGATCAGTCCATTACATATTCCTCGATCTGAGGATTCAATGTAGCGTGTTTAATGTCACAAACGCACATAATGGGCGCGTGGTGGGCGCATCGCATAGCGACCCGTAAATGGTTTGTCCGTTTCCCCCAACAAATGGGCAACGAGGCATGGTGCTCGTCGACTCTGCTGAAAAAGGATTGCGTCTTGGGGGCGCTTCTTTATTCTGACGTATTGCAAAAGAGAGATGCCATTTATAGGTGCATGCATAGACCTCTACATACCTATGTAGCACCTAGACCTCTACAGTCTACATACCATGGCATGTAGAGGTCTATGGTACATGATAAAAAGATGACTCTGTTTTCGTCGGCTTTATATAATTAAAGCTGTCTGTTAAGAGTATATGGCTGCATTTTACATCAAACGCTGTAGAAGTTTGACTTGTCAATCCTCTTGAACATTTTATTGCATTATATGTATGTGAAGCACATCTGTGTAATTTGAAAACGTCACGGTACAGCTTGTAATGAATCTTTTCTGAATGCTGGGATCAAAGGACATCAATTTGGGCTTTGATGCTGCTTCAAACAAGCTGCTCACATTTCTTTGCAACATCGCCCAACATTTCATCATGTTTTGCTCGTAGTTACATTGCTGTTTGAAATGAGATCCAAGTTCAATTATCAACCGAATCGTAAATCAGTAACCACCTCTCTCCTCTCTCTCTCTCTCTCTCTCTCTCTCTCTCTCTCTCTCTCTCTCTCTCTCTCTCTCTCTCTCTCTCTCTCTCTCTCTCTCTCTCTTCCGTTGCTTAAACATTATTCGTGCATCAAAATAACTGATAACTAGTTTAATGCCATCATCCAGCCACGCTCATGGCCCATGGGCCGGTCTGTATGTTCTCTACATCAGTCGCATTATTGGTGGCTTGTCGTAAATGCCAAGGTATGATTCAATTGAGCACAGGAAGTCGTCATTTCCTCCTGCAATAGCGGTGGTATAAACGCACCCTCAGCTCATACCAAGTACGCTAAGCCACACTGGTAATCCATGTTTCTCCTCATTCCCTAGTCCTCACTAGTGATGTCAATTATGGAAAATCGGAATACCGATACCAAACTAAATACCAACCCAAACCACGGGGAAATACCGAAACCGACCAACTTGGGGAAATGACGGAAATACCAACTTTTTACCGATTTTTTTGCCTCTTATACATTAGTGAGGGATCATGATACCAACAAAATATCAAACACATTACTATGGAAATACCAAATGCCAAGTTGGTATCGGTTTGGTATCGGTACACCAAAAAGTTGGTATCCGATTGACATCTCTAGTCCTCACCCACATGCCCATTCGCATTGTGTGTGGTTCAGGTGAGCTGAGAATTGGGTGGAAAATACAAATAGTTCAAGGATTTTTGCTCTCTCTCTGACTGTAGATATTGTACACTGTAGGTATGCACATTTTATTGTGATGTGATTCAGCCAGCCCGTCTCTTTGTCTGTTGCTTTTTACGTTTGTCCGTCTATCCGCCCATCTGTTGGTCCGTTCACCTGTCTGTCTTGCCCATCTGCCTGCCTGCTCGTCCCTATAAATTGCTGAGCGTGCCGACACGCTGTCCGGCGCTGTACCGACACGCTGTCGGGCGCTCCTCGCCAGCCGTGTGCTGTGCTCTCTCAGCAGACAGTCAAGGCCGCCCGCTCCGCTCGCTCGTGTGTGCCGGCCTGCATGGTGATGAGACGCTTCGATCGGCAGCGGCGGCGGTCAGTGGGCCACACCCGTCGTGCTTGCTGCTGTGTAATCGGTCAGTGCGGACTGAGTAGTGCTAGACCCGGAGAGGAGGCTCGTGCCGGCGTCTGATGTTTGTCTCTCATGGGAGTGTGAGTGTGGAGTCGTGGACCTCATGGCGCCGCAGCGCCGGCCTGGAGCGTCTCGGTCCGATTTAGGCAGCTGTCTCGTGGTCGGCCGTGCGGCGGCAGCTGCTGTAAACAGATGTCCATGGCGACTTTTTGTGATCACCGTCTGGAGCTGAGGCGTCCTCTGTGACCGGGGATTTGTAAACAGAGGTCCGGCTCGGTGGGTGCCGTGTCTAGCTCTGAAAGGGTTTGTGGACGTTTTTAGAAGTCTGAGTGACCGATGGTCGTGGTCATGGCAGACGAGTCATGAGGGTCAGAGATAACGAGTATGACGACGTCGTTGCTAGGCCTATGCTGGTTTGTGACGTGTGACTGGCTTTGAGCTCACACACATCAGCCGGCTAGATTTGCGGTGATTAGACTGATGATGGACTTATATAAGATTTTGATACCTAGTGATTGCGAGTTGCGATATGCTGTTTTTGTGATGTTACCTATCAGCTAATGGCCATCTTTTTCATATCGTCATTTCGACTTTAGTTAGCTATCGCTATCCGTCTCCCATATCGGTATTTTTTGGTCATAGTTCTATTTAGAGTTTAGCATGTCCTGTGTTCCATCAATTCTCACGCATGCACTCGGTGTGTCTGCTGAACTGTCTGAGGGAACGGGGCGCGGCCAGCCCTGTCATCACGGCTCGGCGCCCGGCCCGAGCGGCCCGGCCGGCTCTGGTGTGTTGTGTTCGGGGTATCTGGAGCGGGTGGCGCCGGGTTGCATCAGTGGCATGTGTCCGGTCCACTGGGTGGGGACAGCTTCTGTGAATCGAGAGATGAGCGGGAGACTGCCCTCAGCTGGGCACTGAGCTTACCAGAGACTGTCTTCCCGGTCAGAGACTGTGTTCCCGGCAGGGGACTTAGGCTGAGGGGCTTAGGGGTCTGATCTGAGATCTCAAATCAATGACTGACATCGACCCTTTCCAGTTCCTATTTGATTCATCCCTGATTGATTTTAGCAATGAGGCTACATTCAGCCGGAGACTGACACTGCCTCCTCCCTTCCCTGTCCACAGATCGCTGAACATGGAGAAGGAGGCGCAGGAGCAGGAGGTGAAGGACAAGGAGAAGGCCAAGAGTCTGGGCACAGAGTACAGCAGCACCTCCACCCAGGAGCAGAGTAAGTGGGGGCATGTCGGTGCTCTCTGTGGGTGTGGGTGGGTGTCTATTGCTTGTGTTGACTCTCGAGTGGAGAAAAAGGGTGTCAATTTTGCAGTCGGCGCGCCCTAAAACCTCAATAAACAAACACACAAAAATACGTACTGGTATACATGAATCAAAAAGGCATTGAAACGAACATCCCTACGCAGTGCGACAGGTATTTTTGGTACCTGTTCGGCACACAATTGCCATAGCATGTAATGCATATGTTACTTAAGTCAAGGTCCGGAAACTGGCATATTTCGTCCTAAGGAGATTACAACACGGACGTTGTAGATCCTGGTCTCTAAGCTAAAGGCGTGGGTTTGAAATGGGAGATCATCATCTATCTCGCTCAGCCAGAGGGATTTCAGTTTCACGGTGACTTATCTAACCTGATGCGTCTTAGTAAGATAGACGCCATAAGACAGACGTGCTAATGTTGAGCCATGCTGCCGCCTCTGGGATATAAGGCTTCTCTGGACTGGGGCTACTTCCGCTCAATTCATCTCAGATTGTAATTCAAGTCACCCACGGCGTGGCTTTACCAGTCTCACGTCATGCTAGACAAAAAGACGCAAGTTATGAGCATTGAGCATTACTGGGTTCCAGAATGCGGCCCTGTTTATTCCCGCATTTCTGTTGCAGTAAACTGCTGATATGTTGCTGGCTCGGAGATCCTGTCCGCATTTAGCCAGTGACTGGCGATTATCGGCTTTGGACTAACTGAATGCCTTCTGAAGTCACCCACACGTGTGTGCCTTAAAAGCAGCCTTCATGGCTCCTATATGGCTGACAGCTATGTCAGGAATGCCCAGTTTAAACACTGCACAGTAGTGCACAATGACCTGATGGCACGCGGGCCTCAAGTGGAGTACAGAAGGGATGGGGTGTGGAGCATTTGTGGAATGAGTGGGTTCAGCGATCAAGTGTCTCTTTGGCGTGACTCACAGTTGTCACCTAACTTGTCTGTTCAGCTGGCGATATCGGAGTGTAGAGTAGTCACCTCCCTGTCCTCCCCCCGCCCACCAGGAAGTGGGGGAGGGGGAGAGGGTACAGCCACTTGGCTACTCTGGACATTGAGCACAATGGACTGCTTCCGCCCTGAAGGCGCCCTAGCGTGTCAGACTCGCGCCGAGCGTGTGTGATAGTCGGGGTGAGGCCGGCGCTAGACTGGGGCGGATGGTCTGAGTGTGTAGCAGAGTTGGCGATGTGGAGGGATGGCCTGGCTTAGGTTAGCATTGCAGTACAGGGGAGAAAAACGATTTAAGTCGGGATTGTTGGAAGAGCAAGCTGAACACGACATGCGATTTGCTATCATTCTTTTACATTCTTCACGGGGACGGAATTTGTTATGCTCGGGACCGAACGAGTGTTCCATCATTTAAAGTTCTACTTTTCAAGGGCTACTACAATGATGTATGATTAAAAGTTGAAGATAGCTAGTTGGCTATGTAAATGCCGACATTCTTTGCTGAGTGGTACGATTGTGAAGTTTTCCCAATCCCGGAGGCAGTCTGGCTGCTTTTTCAAATATTCTCCGTCCTTAGATTAAACCAAGATTTTCTCATCAAGGCTGAATGATGAAACGCGTCGCTGCATTTCTTTTTGAAGATCACCGAAATCATTATGATTCCTATATTCTATTCTAAGCTGTAATGGGATGGTTGGTGTATCGTTCCCAGTGCTCTACCTGGGGGAGGGGGTATGACGCCTGTCAAAGTTGCTACCTCCGTCATCCCGAACCAGACGCTGACCGGTTCCGGCACCTGATATAGCTCGGTCCGGCCGGAGTCCGGCTGCGGCGGGCCGGACCCGGAGCTAATGATGTCCCGGACGGCGCCGACCGTCTCCGATCGATCCGTGTCGCCCGAGTCGAGTCGACCGGCGTCTGGTGCTCTTCCGACTCTGAGCCGTCGACGGAGGGAACGGGTAACTGATGCACCGAGGGAGAGACAGACTAACTCGGAGCCGCCGCCGCGTCGGCCGTCGACAGAGCGAGCGGGACAACTAGCCCACCGAGGGATGGGTAAACTCCGAGCTGCTGCCACGCCGGAACGAGATAGCGAGCGAGCAATCCGCCGAGCGAAAAATTGAAACGCATCGAGTTGCTGGCGGGGCGAGCAAGCAACTCACCGACGGGAATGCAGATCTGCTAGCGAACGCGGGAGAGGGAGAGGGCGAGCAGCTCGCCGGCCTGCCGAGCAGCCGTGGAGAGCAACCGACCGCGCAGCAGCCGAGTGTCCGACCCTGACCGACCGGCCTTGGTGGCTGTGGGAAATCGTCCGGCTTTCACCTCCGGACCGAGCGTCGGTGACCGGAGGAACAAACATTGCCCCAGGCCGTCCGGCGTGCCTTCTGCGCCGAGCGAAATCCGGAGATGGAGATCACTCGCAGGCCGCCCTGCCGGAGGCGGGGTGCGGGTCTCTCGACCGTTCCGCGTCGTCCTCTTCCCCTTCCCCTTCCTCTGTCTACCCTTCCGCGCACCCCCGGAGGCGGCGCAGCTTCCTCGTTGACGGGCCAGCCAGCCGCGGGGACGCGGTGAAAGGCCCCGGCGGCGCCAGCGTATCGTAAGGCGCGCGTCGAGAGAGAAAGTGCCGCCCGATCCCGGTGCGGCACTGACCCAGTTACAGCCACAGCCTGTTGCGTGTCACGGCGCGGCGCGGCCTACCTGGCGCACTTCCGAGGGCCCCGGGTTACGCCGCCGGCACGAGAGTGGACCGGCAGATGACGTGACTGGCGCCGCTCACGGACCGCCAGATGACGACGGTCGCTGGCCTTGCTCGGTGTGATCGTTCGTGAGGGTGGTCGAGGAACTCCTCCCCGTCGACTCGGACCTAGAAATTCCACACAGTTCCTCGATGCACGAAGTATCTGGCTCTGGTCCACCTCTGGTCACATTGTCATCTTGCATTTGAGCTGCTGATCGAGGCTTGGTGTCGGTCGTCAAATCCTGTTCGCCGTTGTGCTGTTTACCAGGCGTTCAGCGAACTTGGTTTGAGGCTGGTTTTTGCGGTGGTTAATGTCTGGGTGCCGATGTGAAGCTCACTCCAGGTGCCTTAGAATCCAAACATCATCCTGAAGCTGTTGGATCGGCGCGGCCTTCAGCACCCGCTGATTCATGGCTGGGATGACGCGCTAGCTCAAGCTGGATCCCAGCGGCGGGCGACACGGTGTGTGCTCCAAAAGCGACGCCGTGAGAAAGAACCAGCGGTGTAGTAACAAAGGCCAGTGTAGTAACGTGGCCTTCACAGCCGGCAGTCCCTCTGTACTCTCCCCTCTCCCTCAGCCCTCTGTGCCGCTCTTCTCTCTCCCAGCCACCTACCCAACTTACCACGTGGCGCTCTGGTGTTGCCGTTGCGGTGTTGAATATTACCCGCTTTAACCCGCGCCCTGCTGGGGGTCCTGGATTTCCACGCCCTGCTGGGGGGGGGGGGGGTGTTTGAACACCCCCCCTTGTAACTCGGCTCCTGGGCCACGTAGCGATACGCGGAAGGCGGCGTTCGAAAGAGCGTAAAAAATAATGACGAAATCACTTCGGTCAATTTTTTGGTCAGGTCAAAGGTCAGGTCACCAGAGGTCATTGAAGGCAAAATTTCGCCGATTTCCAGGTCGAATGTCGAAAATTTCCAAGAAGCCAACGCATAACTCGGGAACCAATAGAGCTACAGCGCCGCGGAAAAGCGCATTCGATAGCCCTATTAACGCCCTTTCTGAGTAATTCTCTCAGATTTGACCTAAGGTCAACGGTTTTGCCTGCAGGGGGCAAAAACTGCAAAAATAGCCGATATTTTCGAAAACAGTTTTTCTGCAATAACTTTTGACCCAAGCCTTGTACGAGCTTACTTTTACCGGCATCGTGTTCCTCTCGTCAAGACGCATCGAATGAACTATAACTTGACCTTGAAAGGTCAACTTGAAAATTTGACCTCAGGTCAAGGTCATGACCTGACCGGAAAGGGTCATGTTGCATATCAGTCGATCCGTATCGTCGAGCTGAACACATCTAAGGCGTTTTCATCGCTCTAGCATGCCTCTATCAAAAGTTATTTGCGAAAAACTGTTAGATACCATTCGTGACCTAAGATGACCTCAGGGCATAAACAAGGGTCACGGACACCATTTTCAAGTTCAGTGTGTCTAAACCACTTGTAATTCGGTGTTTGGGAGTGTGTATAATGTCTTTCATCCAAAAGAGGCGCATTTCAATTTTCTCCCATTGACTTATAATGGGGAGGTCGCAAAATTGACCTGACCTTAGGTCATCGATATCAAAATTCTGAGATATACATTTTGTACATGCTATTGCTCTTAGCAATCGCTGAAAGTTTCAAAGCGATCGGTCACTCGGTGTAGCTATGACAGACATTGCAAGTTTTTATGAGGTGAGGTCACTTCAAGTGACCTGGTGACCTGACCTTGAATGACCTTGGTCTGAAATTTTCACAACATGTGTAGAATTGATGTATGATAAGGTGTACCAAAAACGGCGGCGCTCCGCGCCGCCGTTTTTGAGATATTCGCGAAAAACCACAAGGGGGGGTGTTCAAACACCCCCCCCCAGCAGGGCGCGGGTTAAGTGATGCTATGACACATGATCAGCCGATCGTCTGCCGGCCCTCGTGCTCAGCAGTGTAGTGTTTAATATTAGACGACTTATTTCCCTCTAGTGTAGATGTCACCGACAAAAGTGTTAGTAGATGAACGGTGTCATCGAGCTGTCGGACCAACCCGCGCCACCGTTGCGCTGTGCCGCCGTGTGATGGCCGACCGGCAGGCATCGTGGCCGCCGTGCCAATGCGGCGGCGCCGCCACCATATCCAGGCTCAGGATGAGTAATGAGGCATTGTGCGGGGCGGGGCCGGGAGCAGACGGCCGACGGCACGCGCAGTGCAATTGTTAATTTGAGATATGTCGCTTTAAGGCACGTAGGCCGCCCTGCTGGCGCCTTCTGTCCCCTCTCCGCTGCCGTGCAAGTTT